GGGGAATTTGAATTCAGAGAAAGACTCCCACGGAGAACATAAAGACAAAGATTAAATCCGTGATACAACGTTGACATGCGTTCAGTTCCTGAAAGGTCTTAAAAAAAAAAAAGTCTCCTCCAGAGCAGCCTTGCCACCACCTGAGATTGTTTCCAAAAAAAAAAAAAAATATGCATTTGGGGAGTTCAGAGAAAGGAAGGCATGTGAAGGCATCTTGGGAATGGGCCAAAAACTACTCTTGCTGATAGAGATAGGCAAGAGCCTCCTGGCTAGGGTCAGCAACTTGTACTGCCTGCCACCTTGAGGATATGTCACCTGCCCACCCCAGGCATCCAGTAGGCCAGGCCTCTCCAAGTCACTCACAGCCCCTCCTTCCCATGCCCTGCAACCAGACAGAGGCCCAGAGGGCCAGTAGCCACAGGACCTGACCAGTTGTGGTCTCTAACTAGTGGCAGCTGTGAGTTTCTAATTTATCTCATCCATTTTTTTTTCCTCTTAAAAAAAAGCACAAAAGCCACTGTTTCAAGCCAAGCCTGGTTTTCAAGAGTCCCCTCTAGTGGAGATGACCTGCTACTTCGGCTTCCCTGTGAGCCCAGAGCCTCCCCCTGCCTGGGTGGACTGAGAAGAGCTTCTCTTGCCCCTCATGGCTGCCTCCCTGCCCCCAGGCCCCTGCTTGCTCCCTGGGTTACATCTTAGCTCCCTCCGCCCTGGCACACTGTCAGTTTCTCCTTCTTTATCTTCCCTTTCCATCTCTCTGCCTCTTCACGTTTATCTGCGACCTTGTCTTCATCTTGACATCTGTCTTTCCACGTGTGCCTTCCTGCTTGCATCTTGATCTGCATCTTCTGTCCACATGCTGCTTTTCTCGCAAGTTCGGGAGGACAGGTCTGACTAGTGAGAATGTTTCAGTAGGAGCCTCTTAGATCCGATGGTCCAACTTCAGAGGCCAAATCAGGACCCCTAAGCTGAAGCCAATGAGAAGCAGTCTGGAATTGAGCTTTCCTGCAGGTAAATGGAGCTTTGGCAAAAACTCCCTCCTCTACCCCCCTCCCCTGCCCTGCCCCGATCCCAAGCAAACTTGGGCCTAATGGGTTTATCTATATTTTGGAAGCTGTCTATATCTGATCTCCTGCCTTGAGGTCTTATGTGAAACCAGATGGCTCCCTTTGATCAGCTCTCCCCACCACTCTGCCTGTTACCCAGTCTCTGACCTGCAGCCTGCCATGCAAACGTCAGGCAATGCTTGGGTGAAGGGACAGGTGGCAGGGGCTGGGAAGAGCAGTGATGCAGAGCAAGAGAGACAGAAAAGGGTGGTTAAGGGCCAGAAACTGGCCCTCTGTAGTGGCGGTGAGCACCTGCTGGTCCTGTGGGTTTCCTAGAGATATCCTTTCACCCAAGTGGGAGATAAGGCCAGGACAGGGCAGGAGGTTAATGGTTAACCAAGTACAGGAGCAGGAAACTTCCACAGGGCTCAGGCCCAAGGCCTTTTCTTTAACTCCCTGTCTTCCCTTCCTCTTCTCTCTTACCATTCTTTCCCAGTAGGGACCCTGCTCCCCAACAAAGAACTTTCTCACCTCTATTTCTGCCCTCCAATTCCAGATGGATCAGTGTGGAACTAGATAAAGAGGTTCCATATGCCCAAATGCCAGGGAGTGGGGCTGAGAGCCTGGGGGCTAAGCAGAGGAGAAAGGGAGTGACCCTTTCCTACCAGTCATCCCTCCTGGGTGCCTTGGGACCAGCTGTTTGACCCCTGGAAGAACTGCCTTTCTTTCTGTCTCCACAGGGCTCACCTTTAGAAATGACCAATAGGAGAGAGAGAGAGAGAGAAAAAAAAAAAAAAAAAGGACACCCACTTACCCCTCATTTACTTTAATCAGGCATGAAATCTTTGTAACTAAGTGAAAAAACTGTTTCCCATAAGGGAATCAGTTCCATTCATCATTGTTTGAACTGAGCATATGTGAAGGGGAGAAATAGAATATTCACATAGAATGAATTGATAACAGACTGCCCCGGGTGAGGGTGGTAGTGATGGGGTGGGGCGTGCACATGAGCTGTAAAACTCCAGCACCTCAAAGCTTGTTCCTAGCAGTTTCCCTATGGATGGTCCTGAATTATTTCTAGTTAACAGACTGTAACACAATGCTCCAGTCTCTTTATGATCAGAATGGGGGGTGGGGGTGGGGGCTTGGCTCAGCACTCCTTGCCTCTCCATTTGCCATGATGGACAGAAGTATATTGTGTCCCGTCTGTGTGTGCGGGGACAGCTGTGTGGCAATGCAGGAAGACAGCTGGAGGTGGGGGTTTACAGGAGACAGGAATTGCCTCCCCCACAAACCCTATATGCTGGGGAGGCAATCATAGAGAACAAGGTAGGCCAGAAATTATTTAAAAATCCCAGATAGCGACAACTCCAGCACCAGAAATATTTCATAGTACCTGAATTGGTGACTTTAGGCTGCTGCCAGCTGCTGCCTTGTATATTTAACCATGTCACTGGTTTCCCCTCCTGTTCCTGTGTTTTCTTGTAACATGCCCATGAAATAAAGATTAGTTGAATAATCAGAAGTATTTGTAAATGGGAAAGGGACCTAGTAGAGAAGAGGCTGTTCTTGCTGGGTTTTCTTTCTAACCTCATTTTGAGCACAGACTCCTGCAAAACAGATGGTGAACTTTTACATTCACCACATCTGCAGCTTTTGATGGTCAAGAGAGTTGGAGGGTGAATGTTCCTTGGCACTTTGGAGAGAGAGGGAGGAATTTAGGCCAGCTCTGACAGGGGTTCACCAGTCTTGGAATAACACAGTTTTGGGTGATGGTAAGATGATATTATTTATTTGCTCTTTACCTAGACATAGGCTGAAAGGCCAACCAATCCTCCTTCTTGGCTCTAGACTGGGAGGCACCCCTCTGAGGATCATCCTGTGGTCCAGGAGACTTGTGGTCCCAGGAGCAGCGGAGACTTTCTGGTCTTTTACCACTATGGGTCCGACTGCTCCTCAGCAGCAACTGCACATTGCTCAAGATGCCATTTCCATTTAACTACTTTGCAAGCCAGTTTGCCCCCAACCCAATACAATTTGCTGAAGAGAATGAGGGAGCATAGATGGCAGTCTGCACTGCTCTCCCTTTCTCATCAGGTCCCTAAAGACAATCAGTGATGGGAGAGAGGGTTGATGGCAGCAGGGGCAAATTCTAGGATTGGATAGGGGTGGGACTTGAAGGTGAGAGGCAGTGAAGCCAGTTGGAAAATGGGGAGAGAAAAAACAACCTGGAAAGGGTACTCTGACAGATTCCGCTCTCTTTCCTTGGTTCCCTACCCTCTCTCCTTAACCTCCCACCTAGGAGAGATCAGAGGTAATTAGTTCAAATGGTGCTCTGTGAGGAGAGGGGGAAGTTAATGAATTCTTCTCTCTTCTTGCCTGGAGGTCAGAGGGGAGAGGACAGAGAGCAACTTCAGGAGCTTTCTGGGGTGACCCACACAGAAGCTGTGCATTTCAATTAGGAATAGCTGAATTCCTCCAGCCAGAGCTAGCTCTTGAGAGGACTGAGGACTCTGTTGCTCAGTTGAAGGCTCCAGAATTCAAAGCCAGCCCAGGGGAGAGTGAAGTTTCAAGGTCTGGGAAAGAAGCAGAGCAAGATAGGAGCCTGCTATTGTGTGGGAAGTGGGAGGGCTGAACCTGACTCCTGTTCCAAAATCCAGCCCAGCCCGTCCCATATACTCATCTTGGTAAACCTGGTTCACTGCACTCATCAACAGGAAGGGATGGATATGCCCCAAATGTGGGTTTCTCCAGCGGATGGACCCCCATGCCACTGTCTGGAGCTACTGTAGGCAGCTCTACTCCCTGAAATCATCCTGCCTTTAAGGCTCTTGCACACTCATGGCTGGTGTGTCACGATTCCCTAGGATCTTGGATTTTACAGGAGACCTGATTATATATATTTCCATTGCCCATTTCACGGGGCTTTCATTTCTAGACCTGAAACTAACCTAGAATCCCAAATCTATTACTTAGCTTCTTCTCTCCCATTATGTCTATCAGGATCTGACCTGAGCTATAGTGGGGTTGCTTCTCCTAGGGCAAGGGTCATGCCAAACAGGTGGACATTTCTGGGGCCTAGAATGGCAGTTTCTGGTGACTCTCTCTTGGCCAACTAACCCATGATTAACATTTACAAAGACTACCTGTGGGATAAACAAATGGGGCTAGAATTTTCTAAGATACCTTTATGACTAGTAGGGTGAGACAAGACGGAGGGAAATATTCACACACAGGTTGCCGGGTTGCCACTGGGACCCTGGGCAAACTCCCACTTCAACCCCCAACACATCAAGTGTTGCTCCMACCAGAGGACTGGGTTCCAAGTAGGGCACTACACCACAGTGCTGATAGTGGTGGAGGGACGCGGAACACTTATCCTTATTCAGTGCCTTGGAATTGCTTTCAGAGCCTTCCGGAACCCGCGCAAATGATGCATTCCCTTTCCCCTGATCCCAAGTCCCCTGATCTGAAGGAACAGCTAGCGGCCACCAGGGACTCCAGCATCGGAGTGAACGCCCCCAAATCGATGGCTGGCCACAGTGGCCTTGGGCTGTCTTGTCGTGCTACCGAGGCCCTCTCTGGGCTCCAGCTCTCGGGACAGCCTCACMGCCCAGATGCTCCCCCAAGCCGCAGAGTGCCGGCAGGTGCGCGGTGGAGCGCGCAACCGAGCGCTGTCGCCGCCCGCAGCCAGTGCTGGGAAGCCGGTGGCCAGCCGTGAAGCCCGCGGTGGGAGGCAGCGGCTGCGAGTCCACCGGCACTCGCGCGCACGCCGCTTTCCGGCCAGCGAAAGTGACCGAGCCCGCTCGGGGACTCTCCCGCAGCAGCCGAGCCCGGGTGCTCGGGGTGGGACCCCAAAGAAGCGGGCGCGGGAGAAACCGCGGCGGGTGTGCGCGCGTTTGGGGAGAGGGTGGAGGGCGCTGCCTACTCGGAGCGCCCGGCCCAGCCGCTGCTTACCCAGCTCAGCGACGTCGGTCTGTCCTTCCGTCCCTGCTTGGTCCGCCTGGGCCGCCGGCTGCCGAGGGCGGCGCGTGCCCCTCTCCCTGCCCGCAGCTCGGAATCACAGAGACGGCCAAATCCACCAGGAGTCCAAATTCATTAAAATCCACGTCAAGCCACCAGCCACTTATCTGTATTCCTGAAGTGGCCCCTCGGTCTCCGGTCCGCGCGCCCCTCTGTCCTCCGTCGCCCCGCAGCAGCCCCGCCGGGCGCTAGAGCCGGTTCGCGTGAGGCACCCCGAGGCGCCGAGGGGGCGTGTGGGGGTGGCTGGCGGTGTCTCTCCTGGGGAAGAAGCAGATCCCCGGCTGTCTTCAGATTTTTCCAGCGCGACTTTCCGGGCTCCTCTGACATCAGCAATCCCGGCGTTTCCTTCCCTTCTTGCTCCCCGGTTGGTTCACAGTCCCATTTCCTCCGGGAACCTGGCTTTCTAGATTATTTCGAGGTTTGCTCCGCTCGCTGGGGCGCTCGCGCTCCCTACCGCTCCCGGGCTCGCGGGGTCTCGCGCTGGATCGCTCGCCCTCTCGGCTGAAAAATTCCCAGCAACTGCGCTCCGCCGCCTCCCGCTCCAGTCTGGCGCGGAGGCTGCTCCGCCCGGCAGCTCTAGCTCCCGCGGCGGCGGCGGCGGCGGCGGCGGCGGCGGCGGCGGCAGCAGAGCCCTCAGCGCCGGCCTCCCTATATTACCATGCAGCTCATTATCATAGAGGCCGTGCGTTAACCCTCTCCCTGCCGGCCAAGCTGCCCGGGCTGGGGCCGCGCCCGCCGCTGGCACCGCCCGCCGCAGACAGCCCCCTGCCCCCTCCCCCGCCCGCGCGGACTTCCTCCTCCGCCAGCTGTCAACAAAGGAGAATCAGATTGGGCATCGGRTGGCCGGCTCCGCTGTCGCCCCGCTCTCAGCTCAGCCCGGACCCACTAGCCACCTTAAGTGGCCAAGGGGGCAACGAAAATGCTGCCGGGRCCTGGGGATTCAGGTCGAGGCCTTGCAAACCAGCTGACATAGCCCCGGGAGGTGGGGGCAGGAGGAGTCCAGAAGACAGCCAGAGTGGGTGAGGGCAGTGGGGACTAGGGCTCCTCTTCCCTTAACATCACCTGTCACCATGAGCATCCTGCACACCTCCCTCTTCATCTTTGAGTAAGGAGTGAGGGCGGGGGAACCGTCCTTGTTTGATGGGGAGACTGGGTCTCAGAATCTGTGGGAGCARATTCTCTCTTCTCACGAATTTCGGAAAACCAACAAGCTGTCAGAKGAGGTTTGAAGTTGTTGTTAATTATTATTTTTACAAGGAGAAGATGAGCTTTCTACTCATCTTTCTACTTGGAATCTCCAGCTTCCAGCTCTGTTAGGGATCCTGGGAGTCGGGCAAGTCCTGACGGGGATGGGGTCGATGGGAACTGGAGCAGAGCTTTCTTTAACCAGACCCAGGGAGGCTTCCTGGCAGGGGATTCAGAGAGGTGGCGGCTAAGAGGTTAAGAGAACTTATTTTAATAACCTAAGAGGAGAGGTTTCTGGATTTCGGATGATCATGCTTCGGTGCTCTCACGGTCGGCGGATCCTTGGCCATATAGTGTCAGTATCTCTGCAATRTCAGGACATGGCTTTCCCACAAGGGACCTGCAAACTAGACCCCAGCGAGTTTGCAGGATCTGCGTAGTCCCTGCTCTAGATTGGAGCATCCAGAGTTTATTCAACATGTCCAAATAGTCTGATAACCTTCCTCTACTGCCCTCTCGTGGGCACTATCTTCAGTGGTATACATAGGGAAAAAATCACTCTTGAAACCTTAAAAGCAGTTATGTGAAATTCTTAGCACTAAGGGCCTTTAGAAAGAAAAGGGAGGGAGGGAGGGGGAGGGAGAGAGAGAGAGAGAGAGAGAGAGAGAGAGAGAGAGAGAGAGAGAGAGAGAATATGAATTTGCTCTTAACAATCATCTCAGATGATCCTCCTTTGCCGAACTGGGAGAATTTAGGCTTTACTCTGGTTAGCTAATTCTTTAAAACTTTTAAAGAAGTTTAGCTAATACTTCAAAAGTTTTCCAGTGTAGTTAATTAATTTTAGTTTATGCCCTGTAACTTGTATTGACTATTCCTGACTTTGTCATGTGGTGCCACAAATAATCTAAGCTGTTTTCTCTGATTCTTACCTGTTCTTTTCTTTGAATTTCTTCAGCATGAATTGTTGGTAACACTCCAGGAAATTATCATATTTTTCCTATATTATTTATTTCTCTCTGTAAGTGGATCTTGTCTCCCCATCCAGACAGTCTTGTTATCCTCTTATCTCTGAGTAGACAGAATTTAAACCACAATTTATTAAGGAAGATGATTTGAAGAAGATGCTCAAAGATTCTGGAACATTTGCTCCATTTTTTTAAATGCATGGAACATCAGTTTGGCCAACTATACCTAAGACTGTCAGCGATAGAGTTGGAAATATCTAACTGATAAAGCTCACAGCTAAAACTTAGGGCCCTCTGATTCTAAATCAAGTGCTGTATAACTTGGAGAAATTGAATATTTTTCCTATGTCTTGATTTAATCACATCTTGAGAAGATTATAATACAATTTAAATAATTTTCAGATACCACTCCCATACCCTGTGATCCAGAAATAAATTCTAGAATGAAGAGCAAGGAAGCATAAAATGATACAGAATCCTTCATTCACCATTCACTACATATTTCACCTCCGTCCTTGCCTCCCCCTTCCCTAATAAAGGGAAGGGGAGGAGGAAGAGAGAAAGAGAGCACAGTCAGGAGACCACTTTACAGGCAGGGTGACACAGTGCCACCCGGTTTCCACACTGCCATTGAACAGCATCTGAGATCTGTTCCTATGGGATTATGGGAGTTCCAGGCACTCCTTGGAGATTGCATAACATGGCAAGACACTAACATGATGCATTGGGAGGTTGAAGTACTCTTTACTTCTCTAGGTCTCAGTTTGGCCAATCTGTACAATTTTGCCTTCATTTTGCCTTTTTGCCTTCACCAGAGAACCAAGGGAATTAAATATACATATGTATATACATACCTATATATAAGAACAGTGTTTGAAATATTGATAGTATCTTTAAAATGAAAGACTATTATTACTGTTAGTCCTATAGGCTAGAACAAATATGGATCTTATTAAGTGTATAATTACAATATACTTAGGAATTAAAACAACAGCTCAAGTTTATGGTTGTATTTCAATAAAACATCCTCTGAAACAATGGCAATGTACGTGAGTCTCTAGTTTCTAAACTAGAAAAAAGTCTCTAGTTATCTAGTTAGATAACTCCATCTCTTTGCTCACTGGGTATTCATTCATTCAGTCATCCAAAAATATTTGAGAGCAAGTTTACTATATTTCTTTCTTGTGTAGAAATCTATTTTGTGCATAATTACCTCTTCAGAACATTTAAAAAATTTTAATTGATACTTGTACATATTTATGTGGTATGCTGTGATTAGTTTACTATATACCACATGGGATGACCAAACCAGGGTAATTAGCATATCGTCATTCCCAACATTTATCATTTCTTTGTGTGGAGAACATTCAGAGTATTTCCTTCTACCTACTTTGAAATATATAATAAATTACTGTTGATTATAGTCACCCTACCGCACTACAAAGCACTAGAACTTTCTGCTTCCAATTGTAACTTTTTATCTGATAACCAACTTCTCTAATCCTTTCCTCACACTCTTCTTCCCAGTTTCTGAAATTACTACTCTACTCTCTGCCTGTATGAAATCAACTTTTTTAGTTTCTGCACATGAGTGAGATCATGCAATATTTGTCTCTCTGTCCCTTGCTTTTTTCATTTAACATAATTCCCTCCAGGCACATACACATTGTTGAAAAGGACAGAGAATTTCATTCTTTTAAATTTTTGAATATTGTTCCATTGTTGAGTACATATTTACATGTATTTTTTAAAAAAGAACACTGGTAACCCAATAGACTCCATATTCCCAGACTCTGTCTTTTTGTGGACACAGATTTTCTTGTATATGTTTGGCCCAAGATTCTTTCTTATCTAGTCCAACTCATGTCAAACCCATAGCCCCTGGGGGCTAATGAGTCCTCTACTGGTGTCTGGTGGTTCACCCCCATTTCCATCAGGCGGGACAGCTATGGCTCAGCATGGTTGTGGGCATGTAGCAGGTGTTTAATAAATATGTATCAAATGAATGAATAAATGAATGAGAAAATATTTATTTATGCTAAATCCTCATCTTAAAAAATTATAGCACATTCCATATACTTCTCCCGCCCCCCACCCTAACCCACACACCTGCTCTGGTCACAGTACTCTTGGAACCTCACCCTCAGAAAAGCCATCGGTGGCTACTGTATTTGTTATCCCTGGCCCCAAGCCTCTTCTTTGCTTGTCAGGAGATGGGTGACTTAGGGAAGAAGATAAGAGAAGTGGGAGAGAACAGGGCCCCAGCATTCTAGAACAGAGTCGTATTTTTCCAGTGGGAAATGGCTTTGCTGTGAACACTGGTCTGGCTAGCAGCAATGTCTGCGTTTCCCAGGCAGGACCAGGCCTYCTCAGGCCCTGGGAAGCAAGCCCTCAGGCTCGGGGAGCATAGGCCCAAATGGGCAACCAGCCCATCCCTGGGGGAAGTCCTCTCTGTCGTAGCAGCAGCTTCAGCCCCACAAATAGATGCCAGGACGGTAGCCCCTTGGATCACAGGAGGTATTTTTGGTCCTGGAAGCTGGCCACACTTTGGCAGTCTTTCAGCCTCTCGTCTGCTCCTTCTCGAGGTGGGGGTGGCAAGCCATCAGTGTTCAGAACGCATGGGAACGCTGCCTGCGAGTGTGCGCGCGCATACATTTAGGGTGCTGGGAGTGGGGTGGGGGCTGGGTTCAGGAGTTCTGCGCGCGGACCCCTGGTGGGAAGGGAGCTGGCTCCTGCTTGCCAGTGTCGGTGGGTAATCTTTGGCGGTTGCCAGGATTGCATCTGGCTCTTTAAGCTGAGACCCCTTATGCCATCACCAACTTGACCTATCTCTCCGCTATGAGACGCATCCCATGTTTCACTTCCCCGATTCCAGGTTTGTCACATTGAGAGGCAGGAACATGCTCCCTTTGTGTGCGTGGGGGGGGGGGCCCTTCTGTCTCCCCAGGCTGTACCTTACCTTCACCCCACAGACACTGTCAGGCAGCCACAATAGCAGAAGCAGCAGCCTCCTCTACCCCCCACATTGTTAGGAACAAAGGCATCGGTCTGACAGGCCAGATTGGAGTGTGTGGGCCAAGTCCCATGAATGGAAAAGAGAGGCGGCCGGGCTGCCAGAGTGGTGGGCCTCTGCCCAGGCAACGGGGCCGGGGCCCAGGACACGGGAACAGGGCACCTGCCCCGGGATTCTCAGCACCATTTATAAAGATGTCACCCTCCTCTCTCCTCTTTTCACAAATCCCACTTTCCTGTGTAATTTAAACAGTAGCAAGCCTGTTAAGGCTCCAAACCAAACACGGTGGGATTTTACTCTTTTCTTACTAAACCTCCCATGAGCAGAGCTTATGTCCCTGTATACATTGCCCTCTTTCCCTAATCTCGCTCCCTTCCTACATCCAATGTTATTCCTCTGG